GCGATGATGGCTATCAAAAATTACAATATTCGTAATTCTGTTCAGTCCAGAGTCAACCGATCGACGATCGAAAAATATGTATGCTACTGTGCCCGACGCAAAAACGGATGCAATTGGTGGTTCGCGTATCGAAAATGAAGAGGAAAAACAACATATGGGAACTAACAATATATAACGGTCCTCACACATGTTGTGCTGAAGGGGTCAACCAAGATCATCCTAACTTGGACTCTGAAGTGATATGTCAAGCCATCATACCCATGGTAAAAGCAAGCTCTCATATAGTTGTTGCAGTGTTGATTTCAGCTATACAATCGCAGTATGGGTATACTGTCTCCTATAAAAAAAGCTTGGTTGGCAAAACAAAATGTCATTGTCAAACTTCATGGCGAATGAGATGCATCTTACAACGAGCTTTCAGGTTGGTTTAAGCTAGTGCAGACGTTGAATCCTGAGACAATTGTGGACTTCGAAACCTCCTATGCATACCATAATGATCGAGTTCTTCGCGATCGATGCCAATTCTACCGGGTTTTTTGGAGTTACCCACAGTGCGTTAATGCTGCCAAATACTGCAAGCCTGTGGTCCAGATCGACGGGACTTTCTTGTATGGAAAATACAAACAAGTTTTATTATTGGCAGTTGTCTAAGATGGCAATCACAACATTCTTTTAGTTGCTTTTGCTCTTGTCGAAGGACAAGATACAGATTCTTGGGCTTTTTTCCTCCGAAATTTACGTGCACATGTTATCATGAGGGAAAACATCTGTGTCATTTCAGATCGCGGAGCTGGGATCAAAGCAGCAATGGAGTATTTGGGTCCAATATGGCAACCACCCTTTGTCCAATATAGGTATTGTCTCCGACACATTACTGCAAACTATCATGGAAGGTACAAGAAGAATGATGAGCGACAATTAATTGTGCGCATGGGTAAGTGAAAGCAAGTTAGTAAGTTATACATTTTTTGATCATTTTAATTTTGCAAAGAAAACAAGTCAGTAAGTTATACATTTTTTGATCAGGTTACGAACTACTTCCTCGAACGTTTGAATCAATGCTTCAAGATTTACGGGCGAAGAACGAGGAAGGATACGATTACATCAGCCTCATCGACAAAGAAATGTGGATGAACGCATATGATGGTGGATATCGATATGGACACATGACGACCAACTTGACTGAGGCAATCAATTCAACCTTAAAGGGTGCACGTCACTTACCTGTAGCGGCTTTGGTAAAAATTACATATTTTCGTTTGGGGGTACTTTTTGCGAAGCTCGGTGGACAAGCTCAAACCTGGATACAAGGCGGTCATGTCTATCACCCTAGATTAGTTGCAGATATACAGAAAAAAATTATTGCATCAAATGGAATATCTGCAACAATCTTCTCTAGAAGGCATGAAATGTTTCGTGTCACAAAGTTGCCGCGACCTCTTCAAGGGATTGAAGCTGTGTCGTTAAGAGTAAATCTAAGGGACAGAACGTGAGACTGCGGGTTTTTTCAAGCTCTGAAGTATCCATGCTCTCATGTGATAGCAGCTTGCTCGCACACACGTTAAAACTATAACAATTTTGTGGATCACGTATACCTACTATCTGAAGTTTTTAAGGTATATGAATTTGAGTTTCCCCCCATAGGTAATGACAAAGACCCTGATGAGGTTCAAGATTGGCTTCCGATTGTACCAAATCCAAGTTTATTGAGGGAGCGTGGTCGTCCAAAATCCAATCGAATTCATTGCGATATGGATATTCGAGAAAGATCTAGACAAGACAGAAGATGTGGGCATTGTAGAAACCCAGGACACACGAGAAAAACATGTCCACTTTTGTTGTCATCAAGTAACAATTGATGAGGAAATGATGTATTTGTTTATCAAATAATAATTCTTGTACTTTAATTTGCATTTACTTCAAGTTAATGATAACCAAATTGGTATTTGAATATAATTTTAAATACAACAAACTTACAATAAGTATTAAATGGTAAATGATAATCAAATTACAATAACTAATATTAAATGGTAATAAACAAAATTAGCTGAAATACATTAAAAAAAGTCCAACAAATTTAACAAAATAAAGTAAGTATTTAATGAGAAATAATAATAAAAAATTACAATTTAACAAAATAAAGTAAATACAAATATAATAAAAAAATCTATCGATGCATGCGACGCGAATGTGTTCTGCAGGGTGGTGGCTGTCGGTCTCGAGGAGGATTTCTTCGTATCACTGGTTCTGACTCCTCGCTGTCATCATCATCACCATCGTCGTCGTCGTCCTGAGCATATACATTAGGTTGATGAGGAGCTGATGAGAAAACCCAGACATCGCTGAGTGTGTAAACTGTACAGGAGGTGTTTGTGTTGCGGCCATGGGTGATGAGGCTGAACCCGCCAAATATCCAGCATATGAACCATAAGTCGGATCTACAAAAATAGACCCATAATAGCCTCCAGGAGGGGTCATCTGTGAAGGTGGCGGCGGCGAGGTCATAAAACCAGGTGAAGGTGGCGGCAGCGGCATCTGGTAATGGAAAGGCGATGGTGGCATCATATATGGTTGCAACATCATAAATGGTTGCGGTGGCTGCTGTGAAGGTCCTGCTGGTGCAGCTGAGGATGAACCGGAAGCACCTGCTCTCCGTCCACGAGTCGGGGGATGATGGTGCTGTATCGGTGAACGTCTCTGTCGACGTCGTGGAAATTTCTGCCCTCGTGCATCCTCGGGAAGTAGAAACGGTTTCCCGTTACTGTTGAACCACTCATAATAATTCTCAGCATACATCAAGAAGTCAGTAAAAATGGGCTCTCTATGTGGAATATGTCGATATTGCGATGTGCTTCCGGAATTGGTTGAAAACAACCAAACTGCCGGAGCACGCGATCAGTGGAGTACCACTCGACGGTCGCATAACAGATCAGAGGGACCATCGTCATCCAAACATCTAATGAACCCCTCAACTCAGGTGGGATTACCGCCCTTACATCATCAGTAGAATATGACACACATTCAAACTAAAACAAATAATATATAATTTTTATCAAAATAATAATCTAATTATATAACTATAATCTAAAATCGATTTTTAAACATTAAAATTCATACATGTGTGCCAACCTTCTGATCGATTAACACCCTAATTTTTTCTAAATCATCAGGTAGTTCCTGATGATTTTTCCTATCAGTAGACCACTTATTCAAGGAAAAAAAATTATTATACGTTGTATAAAATTATTAATATACAAAATCAGTTTTATAATTACCTCAGAAGTAGTGGAAATACGAATGGGTTCTTCACAGCGAGACATAAAAAAGGCAATCGATACCATGCCCAAGACTGCAGCAACAGGAGACATCTGCCGATAGCATTACGCCTGTAGTCAGTGGCTCCACACATCTCCCTGTACAGCAAAGCCAAAACTGCTGAGCCCCAACTGAATTATCCGGCGAGACGAAAGTCGTTAAGATGTCACAACCACATGCAGTGAACTAGGTTGCGCGATTTGTCTGGCATCAGCAACCCTCCTATCAGCTGCAGTATGCATGCTCGTGCATACATCTTAACCTCATCCTCGGATACGTCTGCGCTCAACTCCTGAAAATTGGCATCTAACCAATTTAACGGTATCCTACCTCCGATAAAATTTTCCGGGACACGTCATAGACTATCATGACACAAAGTAGTCCAAGAACCGGAAGTTATCCCCGATATCACATCTCCATCCACCGGAAGCCCTAGGTGCATAGAAACATCCTCAAGTGTGATCGTGCACTCTCCGCACGAAAGATGGAATGTGTGGATCTCCGGCCTCCACCGCTCTACTAAGGCAGAAATAAGGTCTGGCTCTATCTTACAGTGACCCTGATATCTACCTATGTAACCGAATCGAGCCTCTACTAAATACGACAAGAGACGGCTGGGTATCACTAACTTAAGATTCCTAATAAAAGGATCTAATACACAGTCATTCTCCTAAAAATAAATAATTACAAAAATTAATTCTTAATCTAATAATCATGCATTAAATAAATCAACTAATTATTACTAATAATTTAAATTAAATTAAAACGTTAAAATGTTATCGTATCAGCAAATTGTCGAGATATTTAATTCTTAATCTAATAATCATGCATTAAATAAATCAACTAATTATTATTAATAATTTAAATTAAATTAAAACGTTAAAATATTACCGTATCAGCAAAGTGTAGAGATATATAATTTCCATCCGAGCGAAGTAGACTGCCTTCCATTATATATCTGCAAAAGAATTATATTACTAAAATATTAAATAAAGTAAAATACTTAAATAATTTAAATACATAATATTATAAAATATACCTTAAAAAGAGAGAGTATTTGAGAGAAATTGAGAGAAATTGAGAGAATTTGGTGTGATAAAAGTGATTGAGGATGGAGGTATTTATAGGGAGGATTGGAATGTGGACGGGCGGGTATTTAGGGGTATAGCGCGCCCCTGCACCGCGCTATACCCCACGTGTCAGATAATCAGGTATAGCGCGGATTAGGGGCGTGCTATACCCACGTGGTACCAAATCACTGTATATCGCGGGGCAGAGAGCACGTTATACTCCACGTGACACCAAATCAACGTATAGAGCGGTACAGGGGGCGCGTTTTACTGCTACGAGTGTTAGATTAAGAAATATAATCTGACCGATGTTAGATCGATAAATATACCGATCACCGATGATTTTTTTAAAAAAAACACAGTCGGTAGTTATCTTTCTTTTTGAGCAGCAACCTTAATAACTGATACTTTAGATGACTATGAAACTACCTAAACAAAATCCAGCACAGAATAAAGCAAAGTGTAAAGAGGATAAGTAAAACCAAAATGCCCCCAAAGTCACTGAATTCAAAAGATTTTACCTTTGATCAAAAGTCTCACGCTTTCTTTCTTCCCTGCTGCTCCCTTTCCCTTTCTCTTTATCGGTCCTTTTCTTGAATGTTCCTTCCTCTGCCTCCCATTTGTTCCTTGCTTTCCAGTTCTCATTCCAAAGAATTTATCTTGGCTTTCTGTAAATTCTTTTGTTTCCCCTTTTCTTCCACTTGACTTCTGTCTTTTTCCTCTATAGATTTCTTAGCTGGACCTGCAAGCATACCTACAATATTATAAAACCATTATTTTTAAGCTGCTTTAATCGTGAGGTATCAAATCAACATCTGAGCTACTCTTGTCTTGGTACTTAAGAGTCTTTTAGTTGCTTTACCTTTATTTGGTATTTTCAAGCTGTGATATTTAGTTTATTGCAGGGATTTTATTTTCAAATCTTAGCATTCAATCTAGGATCTGGGTGTGGGTCTTGAGTTGTTTCTACTTATTTGTCTTCTTTCAACATACCTTTTCTGTTTTGTTTTCTTCTTGTTCTCGATTCACTTTTGAGTTAGCATATGAGTTTCTGTGTTTCTCTGATTAGAAGCTATCTTATCTGATTGCTATTGATTGTACTTGATAATGTCTGAATTATTAGATCAGTTTTCCAAGTATATTTCAGAAATAAATCTGTTTATTCTTAACTTTTTAGCTGCATAACTTGGCGAATCATACGTGTTTTGACTTTTGAGTATTCTTTAGTTATATAAGCTAACATGATTCATTCAATTACAGACATAGATGGGTGTATATCTCAGCACTCCCAAAACTGAAAAACTCACAGAAGATGGTGAGAATAGTAGGGTTAGATATGGTCTAGCATCCATGCAAGGATGGCGTGCAACTATGGAAGATGCTGTGAGTACCAAATGACACCTTTAATTTTCAAATGTCCGAAGCATTTGGACCCCATTTATTCTACTAGATTGGAACTGGACTGGGGTGATGATTGGGATGGTATATGAAGTTTCCATCAATGAGTTCTTAAGGCAAATTTTAAAGTTTATATTCTTGTCGATCTAAAATATGGGTGTGATCTGGACTGGGGTTATGATTGGGATGGTATATGAAGTTTCAATCAATGAGTTCTTAAGACAAAGTTTAAAGTTTATATTCTTGTCGATCTGAAATATGGGTGTAATGCTTATAATCTTATAGATATGGTGGTTTATATCATCTTGCTTTTCTTGCAAATTTCCAGTTCTTGTTATATCATGTATTCATTGTAGTTACTTTTATTTTTTGTTTTGCCAGCATGCTGCATATCCTGATCTCGATGCTTCTACTTCGTTCTTTGGTGTATATGACGGTCATGGAGGTAAGACTTGGATGGTCAGTTCCATTTACAGGTTTCTTTTGTTGTAAACTATATGAACTTGATTTTTTTGCCTCCCATTCATGTACTTGCTCTTTATTTCCCCTTTGGAACTTGAACCAACTGAACTTTTAATTGTACTTAATTTTTATCCTAATACGATTAAGTGTCTTACTCTTACTATTAGACCACTGCTCAAGTTTCTTCAACTTATCCAAGCTCATAACTTGTAGGTAAGGTGGTTGCCAAGTTCTGTGCCAAATATCTTCATCAGCAGGTTCTCAAGAATGAAGCATTTGCAGCTGGGGACCTAAGAACATCAGTTCAGAGAGCATTTTTAAGGTTAATTTGATTGATCAAGTTCATGTTGATTTTTCACTCTTCACTATGTGTTCCTTATTATGGGAATTAACAATGCAATTCCTAGCCAGAATGATTTGGGGGCTTGGTGTTTAGTGCATGCTAGTAATAATGTATATTTATCATCCTTTTGATACTTGCAGTGTGAGAGTAAATCCTCTTTCTTCCACCTGTTTAGGGCTGCTAATATCTTGCTCCCCCACACTCATTTCGAAGATTAAAAAAGCCCCTTCCCATTGTTCAGTTTTTGTGCTTCCAACTTGAGTTACATTTTGGTACAGAATGGATGAGATGATGCGTGGACAAAGAGGATGGAGAGAATTAGCCATTTTGGGGGATAAATTCAACAAGTTTACTGGCATGATAGAAGGACTGATATGGTCTCCTAGGAGTGGTAACGGTAATTACCAAGTTGATAATTGGGCTTTTGAGGAGGTACTTATGAAAATATACCCGTTTTATTGTCCTTAACTAGACCCTGAACAGAATTTTGGTGTTGGCTACAAACGATGATGGAAACCAAGACTGAGGAAGAAGAATAAAACATGATGTGTTTGTTAACTCTTAGCTTATGCAGTATATCAATGCAACCCAGATGGCGGGTTGTGAAACTTAACATCTTAGGCTGCACTTACCTCTGAATTTGCCTGTGATTGCACAAATTTAGTATTCATCCTTTACTTTTCTGCTTTAATGTTTTCTTATTGCAACAATTTTTATATATAATTTACAAGTGTTTGTTAAAACTGTAATCAGGGCCCTCACTCTGACTTTTCTGGACCAACATCTGGGAGCACAGCCTGTGTTGCGGTTCTAAGAAACAACCAACTTGTTGTTGCCAATGCTGGTGATTCTCGTTGTGTAATATCTAGAAACGGTCAGGTAATGCCCTATTAATCAGATGTGGATGAACTGGCCATTGTACTTTGAACTATGGGGAATATTCTCTCTTTCTGAACAAATAACCCCCTTTTTTGTTGCTTTTTTTTTTGTAGGCATACAATCTCTCTAGAGATCACAAACCTGATCTTGAGGTAGAGAAAGAAAGGATTTTAAAAGCTGGTGGTTTTATACATGCAGGACGTATCAATGGCTGTTTGAATCTTTCAAGAGCTATAGGTAATTTACTTCCCTTCTTGATGTATGGAAACAAAAGAGTTCTAATTCTACTCGCCATTACAGTCGTTTGAATTTCCTAAAGATAGAGACATATAAGACTTGGCAGAAAGTGTTGTTATTTTCTTAAACCAATTGTAACATTTTTATACATCCTTTGTCTCCAATCAAGTGTATGCATCCATGCATATCTAGTACTTTTATTCATCAATGGGAGAGAAATAGCAAGAGATAAAGAGATGCGGTTTTAATCCATTGATTCCTTTTCCTGCAGGTGACATTGAGTTCAAGCAGAATAAGTTTTTACCTGCTGAAAAGCAAATTGTAACTGCAAATCCTGATGTTAACACCGTAAGTATACTGTCTCTCAGCAAGGTGGACGCATCACTATACTATTAATCGTTCCGATTTGGCTTTGATATACGATACTGGATCCTAAAAATCTTTGGAGCTTTTTGTATTTAACTTTCTACATCCTACAATTTTCAATTAGGTTGAGATATGTGATGATGATGACTTCCTTGTGCTGGCATGTGACGGAATTTGGTATTATATCTGCTGCCTTTTCCTGTCAGATAATATCAGAATTATCTCGTTTCCAAAATTTCATTTTGTTGATAAGTTATATATACTCTTTTTGATCGACTACAAATCAATATCAATCTTGAATTTAGTATCTAATGCCATCTCGGTTTCGATTTTATATTTCAGGGATTGCATGTCAAGTCAGAAGCTAGTAGATTTTATCCGCGAACAGCTATGTTCCGTACGTACTAAAGCCTTTCTAACTTCAATCAGTCTGTATGTTTGAATGCTTGTTTAGGCAAGGTTGGTAGATAGGTCAATTGAGTTTGTCATTCTATCCTGTTTGTCTAATGACTGTACACTTATCATGAACTCCTGCATTGTATGCAGGAAAGCAAGCTTTCTACTGTTTGTGAGAGGGTGCTCGACAAGTGTTTAGCACCATCGACAGCCACCGGTGAGGGATGCGACAATATGACCATGATCCTGGTGCAGTTCAAGAAACCTGTCATGTCTGCCTCATCTTCAGAGGAGCAATCTTCCCATTCCAAACCAATCGACTCCGAATCAAAGCTAGAAGCAAGTCGGGATTAGTAGCAATGACCATTGTTGGGATCAAAGAAACTGTTTGTTTTCTCGAGTATTCTGATATGCATATGTAGATGGCTTAAAGCAGGAATTGAGTTGATAGCACATTAAGAAAGAATGTATGTCCTTTTTGTTTCTTAAACAGGGATTTCGACAATTTGACAGTTTCAGTAATAAAATGTACAGTTTGGTATGTGATCCAAATTCTTTAAGCCCAACATCATAACCAAGCTGATAAATAATATTAGAAACTCCATCCAATCTTCTAAAGGGAACAACAAGGAGAAGATTATCCAAAATCATATCAAACCAATCTCAAATTATTCAGAAAAAAGGTTATTCGATTAACTAAAAAGAATACACAAATACATAAAATAATATTCTCATAATTATTATGGGACGTGTTCTTTCTTAAACTCGAACCAACTCAACCGAGCCAGACATAAAAGGAAAATACAATCTAATCCAAAACTCGAATTTCATATGAAAAATTAATCTTATTAAATTGAATTGGAAAAAACCAGTTAAGTAATATTATCATGCCTAGTCCATGTGGGATAATCATCCAACCTTTATGACAATCCTTGTATGGAGAAATATAGGGGGAGAAGGGGCAAAGTTTGATGTAATGGGGCAAGTAGTAGGTAGGTAGTAGGATCATGTGGAGCTTTAAGGGCGTAAAACCTGGAGAGAATCTACCAACAGAAATACAAATCACTCCCACTTATATTCTAAAACCCCACCCAGCCAGGTTGGGCATTAAGGGAGCTGCCTGGTCCCTTCCCATTCCCATGTCTATATTTTAAACATTCATAATCATTTCACTCTAGTACAACTATTGATATTCGAACTCGTGATTTATAGGAAAAACAAATATTTTTTTAACCATTAGGGTTAGTTGATTCGTGCATTAGATCTTTGTTAATAGGGTTCCGTTTATATTTAATTAACCCATGCTTTAATATAATGTTAGAATAATGAGAGTAGGAGTTTAGAATGTAAGGGGTGTTTTTATTTTAAAGACACGTATTATTTTATTCATAAGCAACTAAAGTGGAGGTTGTTATTTCACTTCAATTTTTCAGTGTCCATTAATTAAGTATTTGACGTACGTAAAACGATATTTAGTAGTAATCGAAGGGCACAATAATATTAATAATTATGAGGCAGCTGTAAAGGACGAATAAGTGAAAGGGGGCACTTTGCCCAGTTAAGTGTTAAGGTCCTTTTAGTTTTGAAACTATCTAAATTAGATTTTAGCCCTCATTTTTTTGTCCAATTACTTTTTAAATCTCCTTGAGTTTTGAAATTTAATAAATTAAAATTATAGTCTGCTATTAGTTTTATATAAACACTTCTTATATCCATATTAAATGCTCTACTATTAAACAAATTAGACCCTAACTTTCGACTTTTTAAATTTAAAATTAGGGTAAATTACATTGTTCCTAGCTGAGTTTTACTCTCTCTCTTATTTTACTCATTGTACTTTTAATTTTTTTTTAATTTTCTCATTGAACTTTACTGATTGAATTATTTTGCTCACATTGTCGTTAACTTTTTAACGGTGTTATGACATGGCACAAGCATTAAAACGGCGTCGTTTTGAAAAACTCAAATATACACCAAAATAACGTCGTTTTGAATCCTCTTCTCCCCCCTCATTTTCTCTCTACTTTACAAATAAGGTAATCGGTTGCCGCTGTCAGACACCACGTCATTTTTCATTCCGGCCATTGTTTACTGTCATTGATGGTGGATGTTCGGTTTAAAAATGCATGGGTTGGTTTGTCTCTGTAACATCCTAAAATATGGGTTAGTGACTAAATCATAAAACTTCAGAGTTTGGTGATTTAAGTAGGATATCTGTATAGTCCGATGATTTGTTCGGAAATATTTCCTGAAAGTTATTAGTAATTATCAAAGGAATTAAAGGGCAAAATGGTCATTTAGCATGAAATATATTTTTCCCCAATAATATAAATGAATCACGTGGGGGTGGGGGAAAGAGTTATCTGAAAACTCTTTCTTCTTCCTTCCTTCTTCTCCCAACCGTGGAAGCTAGGCAAAGGTAAGGGTTTTCTGATTTGTTGGTAATTTGTTAAATTAAAGGTTAGATTTTGATCATTAGATGATAACTAAGCTTAAGGAAAGCTGAAGTTGTCTTATAATCAAAAGATGAAGAAGTTATAAGATATTTAAGAAAACGAGTTTTTATATGAAATCATGGAAAAGAGTTGATAAGTTGAATTTAAAGTTAAATTTGACTTGTCATCATGCTAATTAAGGAATATGAAGTGTTAGAATTGTATTTAGAACATATTGAAATTTGAGTATGATTCTTGAATTTCATATGAAGAATAGGATTTTGAAGTTATAGATGATTTTCATGGATATAAGTTGGTTTAAGTAATGGTAGTTGAGTTTAATGACATGATAGGGGTTTAAAATAGAAGAATTAAGTGAAAATTGATGATTTTCGGGCTTAAAATACAATTTCTGGGCATAGGGAACCGATACCCTATGAAGGGGAATCAATTCCCCTTCTAGAACGAGAAAATTCCAGTATGTCCAGGGGGTATCGATTCCCCCATGGGGGGTATCGATTCCCCCTAAAGGAAAAATGAAATTGGGTTCAATAATCTGGCTTAAGTTGTTAACATCAAGTTTAAGATTTAGGCTTCTGATAGTTGTTTTGAAATGTTATATTTATGTAGATATTGAGCCTAAACAAGTTCTGGAATAATCAAAGGATTATAATCGAATCAAAGCAAGGCTAAGGTGAGTGCAATTTTAATTGTACTTATACTATTGAACATTGGCTTGCGATGAGCTAGTGATGGAGTTACTATGGTAAAAAGTTACTCTTAAAATGTTAATTGATTTGTGATTCTTATATATGCATGAATACATGAAATGGGTATAGGTTATTATATATGTTATATGATATGCATAGACATAAAAGCATGAAACATAAGATATATGATATGATATACATGATTATATGCATATGTGATATATGCTATGAGACATGATCAATGTGAAATGAGATAAGTCATGTGAATATATGAAATGATATATGAATATGCAATACATGATACATGTGATATGATATGAAATACATGGTTACACATACATGTGATATGTGACAGAAAAGAAAGAACAAGTGATGAGAAAAGTCAATGTGACACCTCGGACTCGTATTCGGGTCGGGTACGGGTTGGGGTGTTACAGTTAATGGCATCAGAGCTAAGGTTTAGTCGATTCTCGGTATAAACCGGAGTCTAGAGTGCTTTATAAGGTATACATGCCAACAAAATAGTGAAAACTTCTGATCTAATGGAATAATAAGTATACTGTTGTGCTAATAGAACTATATGATTGTATTTTTATAGATGTCCGGACAAGGTAGTTCTAGAAATGAAGCGGGAGATGATATACCTGTTGAAAGCAGTAATTCACCTGCCCTGGCCAGACAGAGTGAAGAACAGACACCCTCTGGAGTGCATGTGAATGATCAAGATGTATTCTTTAAAACTTTAGACGCGGTATTGACGCATTTTCAACCTCCTGTTACTTCAACTACAAAAATGAATGTTGTAAAAGAGTTGAAGGGTTTAGGAGCTCCAGAGTTTAAAGGGGAAGCTGATAAAGGTCCTGTTACTGTGGACCTTTGGCTTAATGATGTGAAAATCATGCTTGAGGGACTTCATTGTTTCGATGCTGACAAGTTGGATGGAGTCGTCTCCTTGCTTCGAGGGCAAGCGAGAATTTGGTGGACCAACGTTACATTGAGAATGTCTGATGATCAAGTAACTTGGTCTTTGTTTTTAGAAGAATTCAAACATAAGTACATCGGAGATCAATTTGTTCGACAAATGAAGCAAGAGTTCATGAATCTGAAACAATGGAATCGCACTGTATATTAGTACGAGTGTGAATTCAATAAGTTAAGCCGCTTTGCTGCCGAGCTTGTTCCTACTGAGAATGATGCTTGTGAGTGGTTCGTAGAGGGGTTACGTCCTCGGTTGAAGGATATGTTGATTGTATTGAATCTATCCTCATTTCAAAAGGTAGTCAATCGTGCCAAAGCTTTAGAAAGAGCTCAGAATGAGAGATTTGAAAATTCAAGGACTCAAACAGTCAAGAGAACGAGTGCTTCTTCGAGTTCCACACTGTTAAAAAGAGGTAGAGATGTTGGTTCTCGACCTCAAGCTAGATCAGAGTTAGTGGTATCCTCAGCTAGAGGATCAAATCCGATGAGAGGAAGACAAACTCAGTCAGCAGAATCTGGAACTAGGAGATTTAACCAGAGTCAAGACATACAATGCCCACATTGTGGAAAAAATCATTCTGGGATATGTAGAAGGATTTCTGGAGCTTGATTTAGATGTGGGGAGACCGAACATTTTGTTCGGGATTGTCCTAGAGTCGTCGATGAATCTGCATAGCCAGAGAGGTCTATTTCTTCAGGCTAAATGGGAAGAGGTAGAGGCAGAGGAAGAAATCAGTCAGAGTCCTCTGCTCAACAAGAGATACGTTCCACTGCTCGAGTGTATAATCTCAGGATCAATGAAGATCGGGATGATCCGGAAATTATAACAGGTACCTTTCTGCTGTTTGATAAACATGTTATGGTATTGATTGATCCGGGGTCTACATATTCATACATTACTAGTAAGTTAGTGAGAGAATTGAACATTCCGTTAGAAGCTACTAGTAATGAAATGATAGTGACGAATCCATTAGGGCACAGTGCTCGGGTAAACATGGTGAGTCGAGGGTGTCCCATACGAATTCAGGGAATTGAATTCCCTGCTAATTTGATGAAATTACCTTTTGAAGAATTTGAAGTGATACTGGGAATGGATTGGTTATATCGTTATTATGCTAATGTCGATTGTAGACTGAAAAGAGTAACGTTGATAAGTCCAAAAGAGGTAGAAATCGTGGTGTTTAGTGAAGGGTGGAATCCATTGGCGAATGTGATCTCAGTGATGACGGCAAAGAAGTTACTATTACAAGGATGTCAAGGGTTCATTGCTAGTGTGTTAAATGTAAGAGCCAAAGACAAAGAGATTGAATAAATTCCTATCGTTAGAGAGTTCTCTGATATATTCCCTGCAGAATTGCCAGGT